TTTTTTTTTTTTTTTTTTTTTTTTTTTTTTTTTTTTTTTTTTCATCAAAGAAAGTTAACAACAGTATAAGTATTTTTTTGTTTTATATAAGCCTTTATAGGGAGAAATTGATGCTACTTTGTTATGAAAATCGAAAATGAGTAAAAAAAAAGAAAAAAAAAAAGAAAGATGAATGAATGAAAATGTAAAGATTATGCATTGTGTCGAAGCTTGCCTTATAGAATACTCGTATTCTCGCCGTTTAGAAATCTACTTAGTATTCATGGGATTACAATAGCGGCACAAGAAATAACGCAGACAAAAGATTTGCATCTGTTAAGGAAGCCTATTGAAAAATATCGCAAGTGCATATAACACGTCTGAATGGTTTTCTTATTTTTTTTTTTTTTTTTTTTTTTTTTTTTTTTTTTCTTTTTTTTTTAAGTACCCACATAGCCACAAAGGCATAATATAATTCACTTTGTTCATTCACTATATGAGAAACATAAAACGTGATACAAGTTGACTAATGTCATTGTTTGGAGTAACATGTTATTTTCCATTGTTTTCCGGCAGTAATGCTGACCTACTGAACTTGCTTTAGACAAGCAAGCGCGTTCATATGTAGCAAAAAAATGTTATGGAATTTTGATTGCAATTTATTTGGTAAACTTTCTCTCTCCCATGTATATATATATATATAGGTATATATATATATTTTGTATATTTATTGCAATATTTTTTTTTAAATTTTTTATCATTATTAATTTGTTTATAATCGCCAATGTGCTGTAACCCTTTCTCTAATTTGGTTAAATCAATTATACGGCGTTTAATAGGAAAGAAAAGTAAAAACGAAAAAAACAAACAAAAAAACAAAAAAAAAAAAAAGTAAAACTTACCATATTTAGTTTGCAATTCGTCGGCCAGCTTTTTCTCTCTATCATTTTGTACCACAATACGCCAGACTTGAGCACCATCGTAACGTCTTAATTTAGAGCCGAAAACTACTTCGGTGCTCTCTGTTGCTTGTTCTTGTTCTTGTTGTTGTTGTTGTTGTTGTTGTTGTTGATTAATGAATGTGGAATTTGCATAGTTAAGAACACCGTCCATGACATGGAGTGGTTTTGAAGTGCTTGCACTTATTGCCATCATCGTTAAGAGTTCGTCTTGTGTAACACTAGCACTTATCATGTCGTCGTGGTCGAAGGAGGTTGCTGGCGTCTCGGTTGGAGGTGTTTGTGGCGCTTGAACGATAACAGTTAGCATTGTATGGTTAGCATTAGCTTTTTCGTCCTTTATAGGCATGCTCTGCATTTCATCGTTTTCGCTAATTTTCTCTTCTATTCCCTCTTTCACTTTTCCCGCCGTGAAAATACTTTCGTTACCTTCCGTTATTGCCTCCTCGTTCAATTCATCGGATTGCTGAGAAAGATTTTCTATTTTCATTGATTCTGATGCTATCATAACTTTAGAATCTTCAACATGAACTTGATCCTTATTAGTAGTGGAAATGTCATCTTCGGCATTTTTGCTATTACTCGTAACCGAGTTCACCTTTTCGTTCGTTTTGGTTTCTTTTGAAATTTCATCTTCCATCACAATCCTGTCTGCTGGTTGTATTTCAGTTGTGGCTTTATTTTCAGTGATTGCGTGACTTGCAATCTGATCAGTAAGCGGTTCTAGGACTTTTTCATTGGAATGTAAACTATCGGAAATTTGTATAATTTCTTCAACCATATCTGTAAGATTTGAAATTGTGTCTTTTTCCGAAAAGTTTTCTAAACTCTCGTCTTTAACTAAAGGGCTTTCGATATTCTTGGATGTCTCTAAAGTTTCAACTGCTTCCCCGTTGTCTTGATGCTGAGCGTACAATGTCTCAGTTACGGGCCTGTTTTCTCCATCATTTAAATTAAGACTTTCGTCACGGTTTTCGATTTGCACTTCCTTCTCAAGGTTTGTCAATTGTGCTGAATTTTTCGGAATTTCTTCATTTTTTATCGCATTTTCAGTATTTTCTTCATTCAAGTACGATGATATTTCAGATAATTCAGAGTTGTCTCTCATCGTATCCGTTTTTTCATTTTCATCGCTAACGTCGGTAGGTCCTTCCTCTTGAGCTACGCCGATCATGGGCTGATCCACCTTGTCTTCGTCTTCGTCTCCGTTTCCGTCTTCGGTTTCATCATTTTTTGTAAATTCTATATGTGCTCCTTCGGTTTTCGTTTGCTCTAAGCTCGGCGCTTGGCTGTTAGCACTATCTAGGGCTTCTAATTGATCATTTTGTGGATTTTCATTTAAAGGTTTATTGTTTAACAATTCACTTTCAAGTTCATGCTGTATTTCCTTAACTGTTTCAGACAATACGTCCGCTTTATAGTCCTCTAAATGTTCGTTATTATTAATTGATGGCAGTTCAATTGTCTTAGGTACTGTAAGTTCATCTTTTATGCTTTCACTGTTATCATGATTTTCGGGATGATCTTCTATTCGATCATTTTCAGTTGATTTATTAGTTAATTTGAAGATTTGCACTATGGGTGCATCTTCGCTTTCCAACATTAACATATCTTCTGCTTTTCCGTTATCTGTGATCGCACCATGATCGTGACCAAGAAAATTTGAAACGATCTCTTCATCATCCCCATTATCGGTTGGCACTAAAACATATAAATCACTTTGACCGTTTTGATCAATCGCTGGCACATATTGCATATTGTCGTATAAAATACTTTCGCTTTCCGGGATCACATCATTATAGTCTAAACGTTTATCATTTATTTGTTGAATTTCATTGTGATTTAAGGCTAAACGATCCACAGACATAGCATATATGCATTCAAGATGAATGATGGCAAAGATCACGAGTATTAATGAAACGGCAGCGTACGCGCTAACACATTTTGTTCGATTTGATCTCTTGGCAGACATCTTTACGAGATATGCTACTAAACTCTAATGAGACATGTCCCATGGTTGGTGGTGTGCTTTTATACTTCAGCTAACAATAAAAATGAAATTGGCTTCAAAAAAAATTGTTGTTTTTTTTTTTTTTTTTTTGGTGTTTTTTTGTTATGCTACGCACGCGGTATATTTTATATATCATATTATAGAGTTGTTATGTTACAACAAATACAGAGCTCAGTTCATAATACATCCCCAATACATATGCAATTATAAAATACATACATATATGTAAATGTGCGCACAGTTAGCAAAGCGTTTATGCATTCATTGTCTTTAGACCATCATTCAAATTTTCGTACATGAATTTTTATGCTTAAGTGTATGTAGAGCTAAGCTTTATTTTGTACAATATTTAGTTATGGAGAGCTCTTTAATTTACTCTAAAGTTTCTTTTCTTTTCTTCTATCAAAGATTTTTATCATACATATACACAGAAACAAGTATTTAAATGAATACTTAACATGCACCCAAGAGATCGTTACCAATCGCTGGCTATGACTTTCAACGGTTAGCGGTGCTGCCGTCGTGCCTTCACACCTGCATTTAGTTGATTGCCAAAAGAGAGAGTTAATGCCGATTTACTCCCTAATCTTCACGAATATCTCTTGATTTAATGGGAATAAAGCATGAGTAAAATTCTTACCAAATTATCTTATTATTCATAGAAATTCTTCCAAAGCTCAGAGAAATTACTTGAGAGTTTTTTCACCATTGAACAAGTTATGTTTTTGTAAATGTGTTTAAGTTGGAAGGAAACCTAACAGAATAATAACATTCGAGGAAGTTGTTCATTGCACATATATATATATGTGCTATCTAAGTATAAAAAGAAAAAAAGTTTTCGAAAAATAACAAAAAAAAAAAATAGAAACTGCAACATCGACATTATTCGCGCCAGGAGCTCTGCAGCTCGTGGTATAACTAGAAGAAATTTGAATTGAAACAAGCAAGAAAGTTATACTCGACAGGGGCCGAATCGCGCATACCCAACACACAATGTTTCTCGCATTCTACTCTCCAAGTTCTTTTATTTGATACCCATATTGCTGGTATTATTAAGAAGAAAGGTATCGACTATATTCACTTCAAAATCAAATCATTCTTAAGCAGATAATATATCTTCACTTGAGGAGTGTACAAAAAAGTTCTTAACAGTCGGTCGTGTTCGCCTTATGATAAATAAGCAAAAAACCTCAAAAAAGTGAAAAAATTTAATTACTCGTAACTTTGTGTGGACACGGACGATTACGTCCATTTTTGGACCTAGAAAGTAAAGCGTCTCGTAGAGTAAATGCGAAAAGTCGCAGGCTTCTGGCGTTAAGAATATCCGAATAACAGGCGAAAATCCAAAAAAATTTTTATTGGAAAAAATTGAGTTGCGTTCAGTTTACGCTTCACTGCGCGCTTCTGCGCTGACCAATTTGGCCCATTCTCAATACCAACCTGCGCGCAGAAACTGCCAATGTTTCTTCCAAATTTGAAATCGATATCTTCATTTTTGCGACAAGGAGAGTACCAACAACATTACGTAGGGACGGACAGACATGGTTAGATTATATCAGAATTTCACGCTAATTAAGAATATTTACACTTTATAGGGTCTCTGAGGCTTCCTTTTGCATGTTACATATATTTTCGAAAAAAACAAAATTACTATACCGCCATCTTACAGTGATGAGTATAAAAAGGAAAAAACAAAATCAATTGACATGCCTCTAGGCTACAAAAATACGCAGGGGATTTAAAAAAAATTGGTTTGTAGTGTGATTAGTGGCCAGTATTTCAATACAAAAATTCAATTTGCAGTCAAAAAACCGGTTAGGGATTATCAAGTATCCTGCACGGAAAAAACTCAAATGAAAATTGTAGGAGCTGTGCTAAAGGACCTTTTAAAATATCATATTTCGAATAAAAACACATTTAAACTGCCAACCAACCGCACACTACGGTATGCAACTATATTCGATTTTTATATCATTCTTGACCAATGAGCGGATGATTTAAGCTAATAAAATAAAATTAATTTTCTGAAAAATCTGCACTGGAGCACACGAGCATGATGAAATGGTGAAGCCGCATTGAGACTTAATTTCCCGCTGATAGGCACGACTCTTATCTACGTTTCTGTGCAGCCGAGCGTTGTAGAGTTTTTCGATTCTAAAGTTTCTCAGCAGTAAAATCTTAAAATGACGGGTTCGACTCACTTCACTTGTAATACCAAGAAATATTTGGATATAAAGATTTTCCACTTTTCTGCGGTTGAATTTTTCCAAAAAAAAAAAAGAAAAAGGCACTCCTCTCAAAAGGCGTAACGAAATTTTAATAAATTTTCATATGCTCTCGAAATGCTGCGAAATACATAATTCGTAAACTTTGAGGTTATGTCCGATTTCGGTTAAATTATATTGGATCCGATGTTAGTAGTTCATCGCTGGCCCAGACAGAATCAATATATTAACGATGAAATGTCACACATCACGTAGATTAAAAACTCAAGCTTACGGCAAAATTCCTCATGCGTATGTTTTTCTACTCGGTTTCTCATTTTAGAGAAATGAGAGAATGATTGCAAAAACACATTTTCGTTGCATTTATTTTGCATAGGTCTAGGATGATTCCGACAAATACTCTTCAGAAATAAATTGATATACGACACTCTATATGTATATATATAACATCTGCGATCGATTTCTTTGAAAATTTCATTAACAAAATCTGCGTATTTATTATTAAGATCCTGAGGAAGTATGAAAAATTCAAATAAAGACTTGGACGAATAATTGGCCTCTTTTCAATGTAAAACGAGTCAGTAATTGCAAGAGATATTGATATCTGAAAGGAAGATATATCACAATTATGCAAATTGTCCTGCCTAAAAGGTTTCTAGGGCGATTCGAATAATACACTTGCAATTAATTTAGTGATGCCGCGATTGATTACAGCTCTCTTTGTTTTCTATCATTATTGGATGATAAAAAAAAAAAAAAAAAGAAGAATTCTTTCACTGTTTACTTACTACTACTACTACTACTACTACTACTACTACTATCTCCGACTACTACTACTACTATTACTACAATATGGGCAGTCAATTTTAATTGTTCGGAGGTGTCAAAAGTGTTGTCTTATTTTTGTGCCAGGGTCTTCTATTGTCATCTGAAAACAATGGACAGCAGTTAATGGTCGTATAAGAAGTAAAGAATCTTTCAATTATCACAAAATCGCGATATATTACAACAACAATAACAAATATGATTTTGTAGTTATTTTTGTAATCATTAAATAGTAGTTGCTGTCTCCTCTTTAACCTCCGACAAGCAAGCAAACTCGTACTCGAGTATACGCAGATCATACGTTGTTGATAAGATAAGGAAATCATTTACAATCCCCGTAGAATTACAAATGTTTTTCGTTTAGACGCGTTAAGCCAACGTTCAAGCTGAACTATTGCCAACGCCTGCACAGCCATTCAAACATCAAACGGCCAAACAAACAGGCAAATAAATAAGCAAACCGACCATTGGCATCTTCTCACAGCAAAAACTTGTGTACATCTTGTTCCAGTTGCTTTGTGTGGCGCTGTTTTCATTTTCATTGCGTCCATCGGTGAGCAAAAGGAGATCTTCTATTATAATATTATTGTGTACGCTTTTGTTTTTGTTTTTGGTTTTGTTTTTTTTTTCTGTTTTCGGTAAGCTAACTGCTTTTATTTCATTTTGACAAGTTTTCTGAAAAAATGGAAAGTGGTTTTCGGTTTCAAGTTTTTTATTGTTGTTGTTGTTGTTGTTGTTGTTGTTGTTGCTACTGCTGCTGCAATTCATTTGGTAACCGTCAAATGCATAAGTCATCTGTACTCGTAGCGTACTTGTGAATTTATGCGAACATATGCAACTGATCAAGATATCACATTTATTGACTTTGATGTATAATTTATTTATATATACGTGTATATATACGTGGGAAATTATACAAATTATTACCGAAGTATAAACCAATGCAAACGACCTCCATCGTATCAATTGAGTGAAAATTGCCGTTCAAAGCAGAGAGGGTGAAAAACTAATTGGTAATGATTTTTATTAACTTAAACATAAACCACATGCAATACCGTAATCAGTTGTGATTCTCGTTCACGTTTAAATGATTTGTATAAAATTAAATGTGAGCGATGTTGACTTGAACTTCGTTCAATACAAATCAATTTGCTAATGATATTATTGACCATTTAATATCCTATCATAAATATTTAGATATAACTATTAGTTATCTTTAAAACTCTCACCCGATTAGTTATGTTCGCTTAACTTAATTTAATCGCTAATTTTAAGATTAAATTTGAAGCGAATTCATTCTGAATTCTGAATACATTTTCAGATTGAGGAACTTACCGAAGCAATGGAGACGATTGAACTTGAAATTATACAAAATGAAGAAGACTCTCTTATTGAACCGCCTGACAATTGTTTTGTAAATAATTCATTGCCAGAGAATGAATTGAATAAAAATGCTACAACTTCTTTCTCATCCATGATATCGTATACTACTGTGTGCACTGCTGCCGTAATGCAACCGCAATTGCAACAACCATCGTTGCCGGGAATGACGACGCAATGCAATCAAAGCCTTTATGAGTACACACTCGGCCGGCGATCAAGCGATGAAGTTGTGACAACAAGTGCATTCGCTACACCACCGCAAATGCAAGGTAGTGCCACAAGTTTATCCGCTAGTCCACTAAGGCGTCTGCAGCCGGGTGATCGTCGCAACTCCGTATACTTGGGACCACGATCATCAATGACTACACCTGATAGTGGTATTAGCAGTCAAACGCATGTTACAACCACGTCGTCACGTAGCTCTAGTCCGATAGTGAAATCTGTCGGGGTTAGTACGCTGTTGCATACGTGCTGTGACAAATCGTCCAATTCTTCGCCCCGTCATTTTGTATCTACCCTTACCTCACCCATCGATACGCAATCAAGTCTGACGTCTGTAACACGTGAACATGCTCTCAAACAGGAAATCGAGCAATTGCAAGAACGCCTCAAAGACACCGAAGAACGTTTAGAATCATTTCGTATACAACATGATACGCTCTCGCAATTGCATCGAAAACTGCGCGAGAGCAACACTCAGTTACAAGACGAATCAGAAATGTTAAAATTGGATGTACAGCATCTAAACGAATGTGCAAATGTTTTACGTGCCGAATTGCAATCGGCTCGTAACGATCGTGACGAAGCACTAGAATTGCAGAATATATTAAAAACCGAATTAGAAGAGACAAGAAATGAAAAGAAGAGAGCCCAAGAGCAAAAGGAAAAGGACGCCAAAACAATACAAGATCTTCAAAGGCAATGTCGAGAAATGGAAAGAATTTTAATGCGTAAACATCCGGATTCAGTTTCGGCTTTAATAGGTAACATAAAGATTTTCTCTTCTAACTTCTATATATCCATAAGGTTTTCGATAATTGCAGTCGCTTCTAAAGCCACTAATATTCGCGCAAATAATGATCAGGAAAATTTAAGCAGCCGCAAATTATTGGAGCAACGCATCGCCCAATTAGAAGCTGACGCAAAAGAACAAGATACGAAAGCCCAACAAATATTAGCTAACGTTCAGGCACGTTTCAATTCGGTGCAAGCGAAATATGAAACTCATATAGCGGATCTCGAAACCCAAGTTTTAAGGTGAACTTAACAAACGAAAAAGAACTGACTTTATGAATTTGTTTGTTTGTTTTTTTTTTTTTTTTTTTTTTTTTTTAGCCTTCAAGAAATCAATACTAAGCTTAATGAGAAAATTGAGTCACAAGTTCGGACCTTGGATTATTTTGTCTCAAAAAAGGCTGAACGTTTCTATAATAATTGCACTCAAACGGAGGAGTCATATACTTGCACACTAGCATTGCCCTCGAATCCGTTGCCGCAACTGCAACCAGCACTAAAAAGTGGCCCATTTACTAAACCCGCTAAAAAGGTTGCACTTAAAACAATTAGCACTCAAACGTTGGCTTCAACACGTGAATGCAGCACAAACACCATTGGAACGTCAAGTCAGCATTCGGCTAATTCGAGTACAAGTAGCACTGCTAATTCTACACCCAACAATTCCCGCCCCAATTCTAAGCAGAGTGGCTTACGTAAACCGGTGACTACTAGTGGAACATCAAAACTGCCAGTTTCACAATCGGACGCAAATATATCGTCGAACGCTTTGCAGGCCGCCATTCATGCCAAAGAAGATGCCCATTTATTGGCGACTATACGTGGCATGCGTATCGATTTGGCCATTAAAAGTAAAGCTTTGCAAAGATTAACCCGTGAACTGGATGACTGTAAAAGGACTATCAAAAAGTTGCAAAAGGAAAAAGATGGTAAGTGCGCGCGTATACTTGTGAAATTCAGAATACATTTTTCCTCTTTACACGCCTCCTTAAATATATCTTTAGTTATTTAAAATTATAAACCAAATAAAAAAGAAAAAAAAAAAAAACAACTTTTCTTACTGTAACATTAACACAATTACTTACTTATGTGTGTCTGTTCACCTAAGGTATGAATTTAACAAAAAAAAAAAAAAAAAAAAAAAAAAAAAAAAAAAAAAAATTAAAATAATATAAATAAAAAATAAAAACAAAACGAATAAAAAAACATAAAAAAGTTGAAATGACATGCAGTACATTAAACTGCCTGCCAGTTAGTTAAACCTACATTTCCGCGTATTCGTTTTATTTCTTTTCTTATTTTCTTTTTTTTATTTATTTTTTTTTTATACCTGCCTTTATTAATTCAGTGAAAGTCAATCAAAATAATAGGAAAACAACAAAATCATTACGCGTACGCTTACAAATATATCTAATATATATATATATATATATATAAATATATAAATTTTGTTGGTTATGATGAGAGAATTTTAATTTCTTTTTCTTATACCCATCACCGAAGGATGAGGCGAGGGTCTGATCTACTACGTTTGTCTTTTCATTTGCAACATCAAAAAATATGCACAAGCCAATCCTGTCCGTCCATACGTTATTGTGTATTAAGAAAATCCAAAATATAATTGATTTTGAATGCGGACATGATACGCCCACAATCAAGTATACAAAAAAATCGGTGTAACTTATACTTCAACGGTAGATATTTAAGAGCAAAATTTAAATCAATAATTTATCAATCAATTTATCAATGGGGTGCAAAACTTCGTTACAAGAGCACAATTTAATTCGAAAGTAAACATCTCGGCAATAGACGGAAATCTCTCTCTATAACCTAAACAAACTATAAAAGATTTGAAATTACATTTTGGTAAATTGCTTGTCTTTAAATTACCGAATGTCAAATATGCGACACGAGGCGAATACACTTGTCTTTGCTTGTTTTTTTTTTTTTTTTTACTAAATTTTAATTTACTTTGTTGTTTAGTAAAAAAAAAAAAAAAAAAGTAATATTTTTTTTTATCACATTATTATGCACGACTCGAATTCTTGTGTTACGTAAACTTAATGTAACACTTGTTAATAACAATCACACCGGAAAATGGAGATATGCTAAGTTTTTATCACGTTAAGGCCAAAAGGCTTTGATCATACATATAGAGAATGCCTTTGTATTTATAGCTAATCTTGAGAGATTTGCAAATTACATCTTACCCGAGTGCGTATAGAACTAATATATAACCTACAAAACAATACATTTTCGCCGATCACTTGCAAATGCGAGCATACATGAAAAAAGCAAAAAGAAACTATCAGGAATATTCATCACAATTGACGTATGGCCGCGGCAGGTGCATAGTGAATCGATGTTCGATCGATAACTGATCGAACGTATATCTTCCAAGCTGTGGTCAAACACTGTCCTTTTTTCCTACTTTTCTTTTCGTCTATCCATCGCGGTAGGACCCGCCATATAGAATGTATTGCGTGAGTGAAAAGTCATATAGTGGAACCTGTTTTTGTGCGATTCATTTCTATGCGATATATTTTTGTCCAATTTTTTTTGCATACCGGAAATGAATACGTGCATCAATGTGTTCTTGTGATGCGCATCAAATCGCACAAAAAGATTTCGTATAAAAAGAGATTGCGTAAAAACAAGAGATCCAAAAATAAAAAACTTAAGAGATTTCATATTTGCTATTTTGTAAATTGAGTTTACTTTATAACAAAATAGCAGAGTTAAGCAGAGAAAACCAAAAAATAATTCGTTCGAGCAAATCGGATTTAAAAAGTCGATAATCTACATAACTTAAAGCACTCACTTGTTCGGCCTAAAAAGAGAGATAAGCCAGACGTTTCTTCGATCATCAGCCATCTCATTTGGGTTTGCTTCTGATGAGTTCATGTCTTTATAACAGATGTTGTACTCTGCTGTTTCCGCGTTTCAATATATCGTAGAAGAGTCCGAACTTTGATAATATTTACAAATGATCCAAATTTGATATTAAATTTCTTTTATTTATGTGTGCTACTGTCAAATGAAGATCATTGCCATAATGAAAGTTAGGCTAAATACCATCGAGCGATCGAGCCTCTCTCGCACAGCGGCAGTGCAAATGTATTCATAAATATATATACATGAAATGAATGAAAGTCTTAGTTGGTTAGCGAATAAAATTGAAGAAGATCGGTTCAAATCGTCGTGCAGAAGTTAATGTAACCGGGTCGTCGCATGTGATTTATGAAGAAATTCAAATATGTTCAGATAGCTGTATATGGGCTCCGAGAATAGGCAGAACTTGTTGACACTGAAAAGAAGACTCGTCTCTTTCTTCGGATAGATTGAGCAGGAATTTTAGAAAATGGTAGAATATCCAATTCGGTCTGATGTTCATCAAAATTCTTTGTATAAATATGTGTGAAATTGCCAAGTAAACGAGAAGATTTCAAACCTAGGCAGTATTCGATATTGAACTTTTTTTTTTTACTACACAAAGTTTTCAAATCTGTATACGTTCATTCACAAAAATTTCCGATATTTTTTGTTGCGCTTTAAAAAATATTAAGAAACTTTCAAAACAATTTTTAAAAGAGCTTAAGATAGATGGACCTTTTATTATACCGATCGATTCAGAATTGCTTTGTAAATCAATCTAAGCCTGTCTATCCGTCCGTCCATGTAAATTTATGGTAATTTTCGAGATATTTTGATGAAATTTAGTACATGGACGTGCTTTGAGCCAAGGACGAACGAGCTATTAAAAATGCTTCGGATACACTCCCCATATAACGCCTTATTTTGAAAAGTTGTAATATCGAAAAAAATTACAATTTTCGAAATTTCTCGACAAAACTCGCTCTGTAATAGAAAAAATCTGGTTCGTCTGGGACAATTTTTGAATCCCCTCTCATCTATAGTTTCTACGGGAATTGAAACTTTATATGGCAAAAAGGTCGAATATTTCAATAATTCATGGCTCATAACAGTAAATTGGCAAAGAAATCTATCTTAGCGAATTTGGGTGATGTAGATCTATTTTTTGGAGATCGCCGCATATAAGGATTCTTATGAAACGTAAACGTGTATAAGCCAAGTCAAGTCTAATTGTTAATTTTTTTGTGGTGAAAATTGGTTCGTGATAGTAATTAAGTAAAAAAATTGAGTGAACCTAATTGCAATCATTTGACTCTATTTCTTGATACCACGCCCAACAAGCTATTCGAAAGACGGCTTAATTTATAATATTTTATAATGAAAATTACTTCACAATAGTGTTTCAGTTAAATAAGTGAATAAACTATATGGTGTAGGGTATAACGTCTATAACGTTCTTACTTATTCTTTCTTATCATAGAGAGTCGATAATAAATAAAAATTCATCCTATTACATTAATTATTCCTTTTATCGCCATATCATTTTTTACATATTAAAGGTTCGAAATGTGACAAACCTTATAGCACTGCCAGTACAAGCGTGAATATATTACGGCAACAACAAGGAGCATTGGTGCCGGCCACTACGGAAGGACAAGCTTTGAAAGAAGCGCAAAACAGATATAAGTTATTGCAGGCCGATTATCGAACATTACACGAAAAACGTTTACAAGATGTAAGTTCAAAGTAATATAAGTATTCTGTCAAAAAAGTACCAGGAATGCGTTATTCAAATATTCTGCAACAGTAACGCGTTTGAACGCAACCGTAATCTACAGAGAGTGCGATTTCCACATCTGATCAAAAATGTTGACAAAGAATTTACTTTCAAGTTTTCAGTGGGCTTTTATGTTCCAAATTGTAGAAAACGTTAAAAAAAATCGATACCAATTACATTATAAAAAAAAAAAAAGAAAAGAAAAGGAATCATGGGAATCATATGAGTAATACAAACTCGATTCCTAAGGTTTCTTTCGCACGAAAAATTACCATTTCCGCTTAAGGAAACTTGCTCGACACATTTGTGGTTTTAGACATGAAACGCTTTATAGGTAATCTTGTATCAAAGGAGTTTAATTGACTCGAGAAAGGTTTCCGGAAAAATAAAAGAATTTTCGGGTAAAAAACGCGTACTGCTTCGCTCGACTACTTTAGACTTAACTTAACAATTCAAAGAAAACGATTCAAGGAGATTTAAGGGAAGAGCCTCGAAAAAATAACTCAACAAGTACATGAAATATAAGTGTGGATCTCTTTTTGATTAGATAGCGTATTCGAAAAGCATATTGCATAAATAAATCGCTTTATCTGATTATCAACAATTCCCAGTACTTTTTGATTGAATATTTATTACATGTAATAATAATGAATTTGTATGTTTTTGTTTATCGCTAACGATTTCTATACATATAAATATACATATATATACATATATACGTGCTTAGTTGAAAACGTTACAAACTGCCCATGAACGTGAATTGGCCAGTTGTCATGAGACTGTACGCATATTGCAGCAACGTCTCAACGAGCGTGATGAACACATTGCTTTGCAGAAACGTCGTAAATTACCAGTTGATTACTACGCGCTAAAAGCCAAGGTATGTAGCTATAGTATACTATATATGATCCGAATTTATTTGCATCAAATTTGTTTACCTTCTCGCCTTTCAATCAAGTGGGGATTTAGTGATTTCGATATATTAGCCATTATTCTCTTAATAGGGTATCTGTACAAGGCTTAGTTTTTTTGTATGCGCTCGCTACCCTATTAGCACTCGTAACATTTGGATTTATCTCGACTATGTGTACGTTTTCGTATATGTGCCTTAGATCGAAAAAAATGCCCGAACATTATATTATCTGCAGGCAGTAATGTTTATTAAACAAACAATTTTCGTTCTCTTCTTTTTATACTCACCTCTGTAAGATGGGGTTACACTTATTTTATTTATTTATTTTTTTTTTTTGCCTCATATATGCAAAATCTAAAAACAATTTTCAGAGACGTCTATAAACCGTATGTATTCTTGATTCGCATGAAATTCTGAATTGATTTAGCCATGTCTATCTGTCTGTCTGTCCGTTTATATGGTCTTTATTGTTGACATTCTCCTGGTCCCAAGAATGAAGACATCGACTTCAAATTTGATAGAAACATTGCATAGTTTTTGTTGTGGTCACGTTGGTGGTCTTGAAAGCGGATTAGATTGGTGAGAGCAGAAGCACGCAGTCGAACATAAACTGAAATCGGCCATACCCACACAAACTTACAAGTGATTAAATTGAATTTTTTTACATTTCTTATCATAAAGCAAATCAGACCGAATGGTTAAAACTATTTTGTACAAGATATATTATTGGCGTAAAAATGGGCTAATTTTGAAATAAATATCGTAGACACCGCAATCTTGTGGATTTATTTTTTCTTAACAGTATCAGCGATATGGGTATCAAATAAAAGAATTTGGAGAGTAGATGGCGACAAGCATAGTGGTGGATATGCGAAATTCAGGCCACGCCCCGTAACTTTCGTATTTGCTTTTTTTTTATTTATAAATTTCTTACTCATTTATTATTATTTAATATTTGTCTACCTACATATATTATTATTGTTTTTCATCAATATTATGCAATAAAAATTACAAATTCTTTCGAAAAAGTTAAAGTAAGAAAGCTTAACATAAAATGTTACTCCAATTTTGATATATATATATATATATATATATATAGACTGTGGTAATGGATTCCTAAATATGAAAATGATTGTCTTTTTATACAAAGGTTACGTCGTTGGAAAGGCGTCATACTGAACGAGAGGAACGCCTGCATATGTTGGTAGAGGCCTTAAGCAAGGGACGTCTCAATAGTGCACTTGACGATCTCATAGGAGAAAACAATAATCAGTGAGTGTGTTCAACTCTAATTATCAAAAAAAAAAATAAATAAATAGATTTTAGACGTAACGGTAAAGAGGAAAAGTATGTAAAACCAAAAACATTATATTAAATAACAGTACATGCCCCCCCCCCCCCCTTCCCCCTCCAGTTGGCGCTTAGTATATAATAAATTGTTTATGTGGGGAATTATTTAGGTTTTGATTTTAAAATAATATAAATATAAAGTGAATTGAGTGAAATAAATTGATAATAAATTATTTGTTAATTTTAGTTGTTGTATAAAATAATCGAATATGTACAAAAAAAAAAAAAAAAAAAAAGAAGAGAATGAGTGTGGAATGAAATTATCTTTTACAACAACAAGAATAACAGCAACAACAACAAAAAAAAAACAAAAACAATTCAATTACTGACTGAATATAAATTGAAAAAAAAAAAACAAAGAAAAATATTTATTTAAAAATTTTATTATATATTATAATAATAATAATAATAATAATATATAAGTATACTTTTCGGTTAAGACCGAATTTCAGTTACCCAATGTCAAGGAATAATTAATGCAAATATATATTAGATTTTATAAATTTTAAAATGTTTTTCACAATTATTTTAAAGTAATTATTGATTTTAAGTCAGTATTATAAGATATGGATTTAAACAGCAGGAACTAATCAATTGAACTGCACTGTAATATGCATTATCAACATTTGATAATGGGTTGAAAATAAATACAGTAATTATATTAAGAAAAGTAATTAAAGAAATGAAAAATGACAATGTTCTATACCATGATTATTATTGGGTAAATTTTGTTTAAAATGTTGGAAATTTGAAACAAAATAAAACAAAATAAAACAAAATAAAACAAAAAAAAAGAAGAAAAAAAAAACACAAATGAATAAATAATAATTAAAAGCCAAAGATTTACTTATATCACAATATAAACATCTTAGGTGTACCGATTAATGATATACACAATTGCGTAATAACATCAAATAATTCATTTAAAGTCATCGCTAATTTTTCTATAACATATTCTTCCCATTTTTATACATGTCGCCCGAGGATGAGGAATACATTCATTTTATCGCAACATTTGCAACGCCCAAAAGGAAGATTCAGGGACCCCGCAAACTACAATATATATGTTCTTGATAAGCATCAAATTCTAAAACGGTTTAAGTATGTCTGTCTGTCCGTATTGTCTATGTAATGTCTGTTGCAAATATTCCCTTGACTACAAAAATGAAGCTATCGCTTTCAGATTTGGCAGAAATTGGAAATTTGGAAATTCTTACACGTACACGTACGTTGGTATAAAAAATGGGCTACGGCGATCGCAGGACATGTCTATAGCACTACGTAAAGTGAGGATACCTCTGGGTCTCAAAAGGAATAATATATTGTTTTTTGACTCATTACACATAAACTACAGCAAATAAACATACATTCTATGTAGTATCAGTAAAAAAAAACTAGAAAAATTGACCACGTCTACCCAATATTATAGCATACACAAATATTAACTTTTTTCCAATAACTTTGTAACGCGCAGAAACAAGCTGCAATAATCCCATGGAGTATTTAAACTGTTGATCAATTTCAAAATCGGAATGCACCTAAGCATATCCGTCCATTGGTATGTCCATCTGTCCATAGTATCTGTGATACAAAAAAAAAAAAGAGGATATCGCCCACAAATTTGCAAAAGAGTTTGACAATGACCCAAAGAAGTCGAAGAATGTGCCCATAACGTCCACACATCTACACAATCTAAACTGGGAACACCTCTGCTATCCGTGTTTTTGCTTGTTGCTCTTAAACTACAGTACGCACACAATATGAATTTCCATAAAATTAGCCTACAGGGCGCAGGTAGAAATTTACATAACAGATTTCTTTACAATCTTACACTCGTTTCAATTCCTTTGCAAAGATATAAGGGCTTCCGTATATGGTCTAATATTGCCTTTGCAAAGCCGAGTTTACTGTAGATGTGAACTATGCTTGCAAATCTTGTGGAAAAAGAAATTCAACCTGCCTTTTGTATTTCGATGTGCCCGAAACGGACGTTCCCCGTTCAAAACAGTATTCTTAAGAAGCGCTTACCTATATTGACCTATAAGTTGGCATAAAGTTTACTTAAGGTCTAAATTGACAAAGACATCCCAGCTTATGGTCATAAATTCCACTCTAAAATAGATCGTAGGTGCTTAAAAAACAATTACCTATGATGTAACAAGTGTTGGACTAATACTTGGGACAAACAGCGGATTGAAATAATTCTCTGATTTCTTTTGTATTTCGATATGCCTTGAGTCACTTAGTTTGAAGCAGCTTAGGTCCAGCTGGCTTAGGTCTATCAATCTTTAATGGTTGCTGTAAATCAATCAATTGCGATTTACAAAAAGAGATATATTTCATCACCTCTTGACTATAAGTTTATACATTCATCGCATTAGTCATCTTGCTATACTTATCCAATATTTTATATTGCTTTACTTGACGTTTTCAAAAAAATGCATATTTTTTCACTTATTGAACACTATGCATAAATTTTGATAATTTAGAGTACACAACAACAGACCCCCCGATATCATCGAACAAAGGCCATTCTCTTCTTTAGGTTTGGAAAATCGATAATTTTTTAAAAATTCTAATTCGATAACACGATCCTACATGAACGAGTCTTACTTATATTTTCGCCCCCTTTCACACTTATGTCTATTATGACTCAACGTCGTGTTTCCTACACGAATTCAGCAAATTAACTTGTCAATTATATAAATATGATCAGTTATTTACTATCTTAATATAAGGAAATAATAATAATAATTGCACATTTTACATATGTCAATACGATTTTTTATTGAGATCATTTTTATATAACTTTTTTGCAAATTAATTAATAAGTGCTAGGAAAAAGAAAAACATAAAGTGGAGGAAGAATTAAAATATTTGTTTTCTCTTTATTTTATCATCGATTTAATTTATAACCTAACCAAAAAGATAATAAATAGCTATTATAGCTGCAGGTGAGAAAAATAACAGAGATTATTGTCGATCTAAGGGAAACACTAAACTAACTGCCCAGACATGATCCCTAAGTGAATCGAAAGAAGCTATATATAACTTTGGAAAATGCATTCAAATAATTTAAGGAGAAAAAGTAAATTATTTTAAAATATCGACTTTTCAGTCCTCTCAACCTATGGCCAAGGCGTGGTTACAACAAGATATTGTGAGGAAATGAGTTAAATTGCATTTTTTGATAAATGGAATATCTAGGTCATCGTTTCGTGGCTATTGCCGCCGGCCCAGGTCGGCTTAACAAAGAGACAAAGGGTCTTAGTTTGGCATTTTTGAAGTATTTCCATATTAGAGTTACTAGCTCGTGTTCACCACAACTGTATGTTGTAAATCGAAATAAATTGGAAACTTGCGGCCTTGTGTAAAATACACTTAATTTTTAGACTAAGTTGAGCCAAAACATTTTACAAAATGATTAATGCGGGTATTATTAAAGTGTTAAACTATGAAAATAAATATGATATCAAGTGCAGATGTTTGCCTTTTATTAGAAGAAATGCAGTCTTGAGGTCATTTTTAATGAGTGAGCTAAATCACGATTTCGGTATTCTAATAAACGTCCACTTCTTTCCTTAGAACTTTTTCTTGACGATAGCCATATTCTTGGTGACGAGGCTTAGCCTAGCTATAGTTTTGATTAAAAAATTTTGCGATTGTTTTTTACATTTTTGCAATGGGTTGTATTTATTCTATTCGCAAATTAAATATTTGAGATTATCAAACCATTGATGTCAATCAATATCAATACAAAATCAGATAATGTTAATTGAAGGACTACTGTAATAATCGTATATTATTAATCGGTACAAATGATGTGAACGTTACCGTCAGTTTCCTTCCAGAGAATATTGTTCTAAAGCCGTCATCAAAACAAGTGCTTGTAATATTTAGCACATTTAATATAAATAAAATATAATTAAAAATATATAGCTTTAGAGGCGTTTATATACCATATAGTTATTGTTCTAAGCTAGTTTTTAATTTTTAAAGTTTACACATTTTTCTTGTAGAAAAGAAAAAATAAATAAAAATAAAAAATAAATAAATAAATAAAAAAGAAGAAAATGAATAAACTAAAAAGATCAATAAATAAATTATTGAAAACATTTTAATAAATAATATAACCGTTGAGAAGAAAAAATATTTAGTATTGAAAATCAGTATAGTAGTATTATCTCACGATTATTATTCGAATAATTTAACTTAGTGTCAAAAATATTGATTAAAATGACATAAATAATTATGAATCATTTCTGAAGCATGACGCATTGATATCTAATGAAAACCGAAATCCCCTAGAGTTCAACTAAACTTAATATCACATTTCAATTTCAATGAATTTATAATGGAAAGAAAAAACGTAAACACTCTGGTTTCATTTACCCTCTTCCCGACTCTCGTGTTTCATTTAATAATAGTTTAATTTAATTAAAACTTTATTCCTCTTCAATTAACTAATTAAGCACAAAAACAAAAAAAACAACAACAACAACAACAACAAAATGAATATAGCTTAAAATATTACAATTAATTCATATCCTCTCTACCTGTATCTCTTTCTATCTCTATCTGCATCTCTATATATATATATATATCTATATATATATATAGGTAGGTATGTATATACATATATATATATATTTCTTTCTCTCCTTCTCACTCTCAGTTTCAAACACGCCCCTTACCCTCCTTCTTTTTCATCTATATATATATATATATATATATGTATATATATAGTTGTATATTATAAGTTCAAAATATGTGGTTTTCTAAGTTCGATATAATAGTTTATAGAAATTTTACATAATTATATTCAATACATACATACATACATACATACATACATACATACATAATATGTATTTTGTACGCCATCTTACAATTATTTAAAAGGGAGAACAATCATAAATCTTATAATAAAAGAAAATAAAATATAACTTTTAAAAAGTTTCGAAACAAACCTTTGCGTATTATTATTTCAAAATCGGATAATTTAACAAAATTCTGGGTAAATAA